CCTGGCCCTGATCCTGGCCCTGATCCTGGCCCTGGTGCTCATCCTGGCCCTGGCCCTGATCCTGGCCCTGGTGCTGGTCCCATCTGGTCTCAGCCCTGTTGTGCCACCAGCAGGTGACACTCCCACTCTCTCCGCAGACCAGCATGAAGAACATGGAGCGGGAGCTGGTGTGCCCGGTGTGCAAGGAGATGTACAAGCAGCCGCTGGCACTGCCCTGTACCCACAACGTGTGCCACGTGTGTGCCAGCGAGGTGCTGCTGCAGCACGGACACCTGTACTGCGACCCCACCTCCGAGCCCACCTCGCCTGCAGCCACCCCGTCCACCCGCAGCCCCCGCCTGGGCCGCAGGGCTGTCCCCAAACCCGATCGGCTCGACCGCCTCCTGAAGTCAGGTGGGGCTGGAGGGGCTGGCAGAAGGGACAGGGGACCAAGGGGACAGGGATGGCTGGAGATGACAGGAGTGGCTGAGGGGATGGGGATAGGGATGGCTGGAGGGCTCGAGGACAGCTGGAGGGGACAGAGATGGCTGGAGGAGAGGGGGATGGCTGGAGGGGACAGGGATGGATGGTTGGAGGATGAGGACAGAGATAGCTGAAGGGAACAGGGATGGCTGGAGGGGATGGCAGAGGGAATAGGAACAACAGAGAGGATGAGGATGGCTGGAGAGGACAGGGACAAGGATGGCTGGAGGCGTTGGGAGCAGGGACAACTGGAAGGGGTAGAGGTGGGGATGGGGGCAGCAACCTGGGCTCCCCCACGCGAGGGCTGAGGGACTCTGGGGCTTCGTGCCCTGCTGACCCCCTCCCTGCCTCCCTCCCACAGGCTTCGGCACCTACCCAGGGCGCAAGCGGGGGGCCGTGCACCCCCAGACCATCAGCTTCCCGTGCCCCGCCTGCCAGCGGGATGTGGACCTGGGTGAGCGGGGTCTGGGCAGCCTCTTCCGTAACCTGACCCTGGAGCGGGTGGTGGAGCGGTACCGGCAGACCATCAACATCAGCGCGGCCATCATGTGCCAGTTCTGCAAGCCCCCGCAGCTGGAGGCCACCAAGGGCTGCACGGAGTGCAAGTCCAGCTTCTGCAATGAGTGCTTCAAGCTCTACCACCCCTGGGGCACTCAGAAAGCCCAGCATGAGCCCACGCCCCCCACCCTCACCTTCCGCCCCAAGGTACAACCTCCCCGTGGGTCCTCCTGCCCTGCTGGGGGATTAAGGCTGAGAGAATTGGGATTGTTCAGCCTTTGGGGTTGCCAAACTGTGGCCTTCTAGTGTCTGAAGGGATCTTTTGGAAGGATGGGGCAAGACTGTTTACAAGAACCTGGAATGACAGGACAAAGGGCAGTGTGTTCATAATGAAAGAGAGTAAGTTCAGGTTAGATATTAGGAAAAAATTCTTGTAATGAGGGTCGTATGGTACTGGAACAAGTTGTCTATATAAGCTGTGAATGCCACATCCCTGGAAGCGTTCAAGAGCAAGGTGGGGCTCTGAGCAATGGGGTCTAGTTGAGGATGTCCCTGTTCATGTCCAGCGGGTTGGAACAAGATGATCTTCAGGTTTCCCTTCCAACCCCACCCATTCTATGATTCTAAGATCTGGAGTAGAGAGCTGGGACTCTGCAGGGGTGGAGGGGGGGTGCAGAGCCCCGCTGAGCCCCGCTGTGCCCGCGCAGGGGCTGATGTGCCCGGAGCACAAGGAGGAGGTGACTCACTACTGCAAGACCTGCCAGCGGCTGGTGTGCCAGCTCTGCCGCGTGCGCCGCACCCACACCAGCCACAAGATCACCCCAGTGCTCAGCGCCTACCAGGCCCTCAGGGTAAGGGCTGCTAGGGCTGGGCTGGGGCTCTGTGGGGAATTGGGGGCACCACAGAGCCCCAGTGCAGATGGGGTGTGTGGGGCGGGGGCTGCTGGCACCACATCTCATCACCTTCCTGCAGGAGAAGCTGACGAAGAGCCTCGCCTACATCCTGAGCAGCCAGGACACGGTGCAAACCCAGATTGCTGAGCTGGAGGAGACAGTGAAGCACACGGAGGTAAGGGCAGAGGGTGCCCATCTGTCCCTGAGCTGTCCCTAGGCAGGGGTGGCACAGCCAGCTCATTCCCCTCTGGCCCCAGGATTTGCCACACGCTGACCTTGCCATGTCTGTGCCCGGCAGGTGAACGGCTCACAGGCCAAGGAAGAGGTGTCACAGCTAATCCAGGGGCTCTGTACCATGCTGGAGGAGAAGAGGGCCACGCTGCTGCAGGCCATCGAGGAGTGCCAGCAGGAGCGGCTGGCCAGCCTGCACGGCCAGATCCGGGAGCACCAGGCCATGCTGGAGAACTCGGGCATGGTGGGCTATGCCCAGGAGGTGCTGAAGGAGACTGACCACCCCTGCTTTGTCCAGGCTGCCAAGCAGCTGCACAACAGGTACGGGGCTGCCGGGGGCCTTGGGACACTCTGGTGCCCGAGGTGGCACCCTGACATCCCCGATCTCCCGTGCCGCAGGATCCTCAGGGCCACCGATTCGCTGCAGAGCTTCCGTCCTGCAGCCAACGCCTCCTTCAGCCACTTCCAGCTGGATGTCAGCAGGGAGCTGAAGCTGCTCACTGACCTGGCCTTCATCCGAGGTAAAGGCAGCGGGACCTGGGCACCGGCTGTGCCCCGTGCCGAGGCGCAGCCCCCGCGGGCAGAGCGGGTCCGTGCCCGCCTTGGAGCTGCAGCTCAGCCACGGCTGCCCAGAGCCACGCTCGGGCAGGCGCTCGCGGATCTGCCGGTGCCCCCTCCCCGTCAGGGACAGCCCCCGCCCCAGCAGCCCCCAGAGATATCCCTGCCCTGCCCTGTGCCAGGGCGTCCGGGCCAGGGGCAGGCAGGCAGGGCCACGGTGCCAGGTGAGGGCAGCAGGAGTGCCGGAGGGTGAGTACGGAGCTGCCCCGCTGCCGGGCAGGCGCTTCCCGCAGGGCAGGAGCCGCGTGGCCCTGCCGGACCCGCTGGCGACACATTTCAGACCTGCTTCTACCTCTCTTTGTTTATAGGCTGCGGCCGCTGCCGAGGCGTCACCGAAGTAACTGAGGCAAGTCACACCCCTGCCCCAGAGCCGCCCCGCTCTCTCTTCCCATCCCTCCATCCCTCCATCCTGCTCCCACCCTGGCCCTGCTCCGCTGCCATCCTCCATCCCCGTCCTGCCCGCTGGTGTTGGCAGCCGGTGGCTCTGCCTCCTCCATCTGCCACTGCTCCTCCTGCCCTCCCACCCCCTCTCGCCACATTTCCGTCCCCATCCTCGCCCCATTTCCATCCCCCCCTCGCCCCATTTCCCTCCCACTCCTTGCTCCGTTTCCATCCTCTTCCTTGCCCCATTTCTTCCCCCTCTCACCCCATTTCCGTCTTCCTCACCCCGTTTCTGTCCCACTCCTTGCTCCATTTCCATCCCTTTCCTTGCCCCATTTCTTCCCCCTCTCACCCCATTTATGTCTCACTCCTTGCTCCATTTCCATCCCCTTCCTTGCCCCATTTCTTTCCCCTCTCACCCCATTTCCACCCTCTCGCCCCATTTCCATCCCACTCCTTGCTCCATTTCCATCCCTTTCCTTGCCCTATTTCTTCCCCCTCTCACCCCATTTCCATCCCCGCTCACCCCGTTTCCATCCTCCTTACCCCATTTCCGCCCCACTCCTTGCTCCTTTTCCATCCCCTTCCTTGCCCCATTTCTGTTCTACTCTCACCTCACTTCTGTCCCATTCATCACCCAATTTTCTGCCTCCTTCTCATCCCGTTTCTGCTTTTCCTTGCCCTATTTTAACCCCATCCTTGCTCTATTTCCACTTTCTATTTCCACTTTCTTCTTATTCCATTTCCATTCGCCCACTTTCCATTTCCATCCTAGTCTCACCACATTTCCGTCCCATTTCTCACTCCATTTTCATTCTCTCCTTGCCCCATTTCCACCCCTCCTCTTGTCCCATTTCCATCCCCTTCCTTTCACCTATCTGTCCCCCTTCTACTCCATGTGCACATTCTTCCCCATTTATGTTCTTGTCTGCACCCCATTTCTGTCCCACTCTCACCCCATTTCTGTCCCACTCTCACCCCATTTCCATCCTCTTCCTTACTCCATTTCCACCCCTCTTCTCGTCCCATTTCTTTCCCCCTTGCCCCATTCCTATCTGCCTCCTCGCCCCATTTCTGTCCTGCTCACTCAATTTCTTTCCCTTTCTGCATCCCATTCTTACCTTGTCCTTGCCCTGTTGTTGCCCCATTTCCATTCTCTCTATATTTCCATCCTGCTCTCACCCCATTTCTGTCCTCTTCCTCTCCTCATTTCCATCTCTCCTTGCGCCATTTCTACTTCTCTCCTCATCCTGTTTCCTTTCTCTTCCTTGCCCCATTCCCATCCTTTCCTTACCCCTCTTCCACCTGGCATCCCTTCATCTCTCTTTCCCACCCTGCCTTTGTTCCTGCCAGTACCTTCTACCACCCTCCATCCCCATCTCCTCCTCCTCCTCTTCCACTGCCTCCATTCTCTCTCTCTCTCTCTTTCTCTCTCTCCTCTCCCTCCTGACTTGCACTCGGCCTGTCTGGTCCCTGGAGCCCCACAGCAGCAGCTCCTCTGTCTCCCTGACTCTCGCTCTCCTCCGGTGCCGGCACACGGTCTCCGCAGTCAGACCCCTCTAGACTCTGCTGGTTGTGCGTCCGTCCGTCCGTCCGGAATCCCGGAATGCCCCCTCCCTGCGTCCGGCCGCCTCCCCGCCTGCGGGGTGGGGGATGCTGCCTGATGCCCGCCGCTGCCTCTCCCCGCAGCGCCCGAGGCCCCCGTCATCGACACGCAGCGCACCTACACCTACGACCAGATCTTCCTGTGCTGGCGGCTGCCGCAGCACTCGCCGCCCGCCTGGCACTACACCGTGGAGTTCCGCAAGACCGACGCCAAGGCCAAGGGGCTGAAGCTGTGGCAGCGGCGGGAGGAGGTGCGGGGCACCTGCGCCCTCGTCGAGTACCTGGACACCGACAGCGTCTACGTGCTCCGGGTGAAGGGCTACAACAAGGCAGGCTTCGGCGACTACAGTGAGGACATCTACCTGCACACGCCGCCCGCCCCAGGTGAGAGGGGATGGGTGCTTGGATCAACCCGGGGCACCCTGCTGTGCTGTCCTGCTCACCCTCCTCCTCCTCTCCTCCCCACAGTCCTCAACTTCTTCCTGGACAACCGCTGGGGCTTCAACCGGGACCGGCTGGCCATCAGCAAGGACCAGCGCGCCGTGCGCAGCGTCCCCGGCATCCCCATGCTGTTCGCGGCCGAGCGCCTGATGACCAGCTGCCACCTGTCCATCGACCTGGTCATCGGCGACGTGGCCATCACCCAGGGCAAGAGCTACTGGGCCTGCTGCGTGGACCCCAGCTCCTACCTGGTGAAGGTGGGCGTGGGGCTGGAGAGCAAACTGCAGGAGTGGTTCCAGGTGCCACAGGACGTGGTGAGCCCCAGGTGAGCGGGGTGGCTTGGGGGATGCATGGGATCCTCTGCCTGCTCCTACCTCCGTAGAGGGCACTGGAGTGTGGGGAGGATCTCCAGCCTGTCCCTTGGGTATTGGCACCAGGACCCACCTATCCCCCTTCCATAGGTATGACCCTGACAGTGGCCACGACAGCGGGGCAGAGGACACAACCGTGGAGGCGCCTCCTCCCTACGCCTTCCTCACCATCGGCATGGGCAAGATCCTGCTGTCGCACGGCTCTGCCCTCACGTCCCGCGACCCCAACGGCTGCACCGTGCCCCTGCCCCCACGCATCGGCATCTGCCTGGACTATGAGCAGGGCAAGGTGAGCTTCTACGATGCTGTCTCCTTCCGTGAGCTCTGGGAGTGCGGCGTGGACTGCTCGGGGCCCGTCTGCCCCGCCTTCTGCTTCATCGGAGGGGGTGCCCTGCACCTCCAGGAGCTGGTGGCCAACAAGCAGGAGCGGAAAGTGACCATCGGGAACTTCGCCAAGCTGGACTGAGCCATGCCCGTGGTGCCCGCACGCCACTGGCTCTGCCCCCTGGGCACCCCGCGAGCGCCAGGGCCTGGGGGGACACGAGTGGCCAGGGAGCAGAGCATAGCAGGGGTGGCCCCGGTCCTGCCAGCACTGGGAACAGGCCAGGTGTTTGTTTTGTGGGATGGGGGGATGGGGACAGCTTTGCCGTCCCCTTCTCACCCAGTCCGCCTGCCCCTAGCTCCAGCTCAGCCCAAGGCTGCTCTGCGCTGGGGTTGTGGGCAGGGCTGGCAGAGGGTCAGCCCTAGAGGTGGGTCAGGGAAGGGGACGGGGCTGCGCAGGGAGGGGGGTGGAAGGTGACAGTGGGGTGACAGTGAAGGGGAGAGGCTGGGTGCTGGTTGGGGTGGGGGAGGCAGTTGGGGTGGGGAAGAGGGCGGGGGGAGGCTGGGCTGGAACAAGGTGTGAAGATGTTTTGTAAAATGGCTCATTTTCAACGTGGATCATCTGGCTGCAGCCAGGCACAGCCCCTGGACACAGCCAGCATTGGGTCCCTCCCGTGGGCTGCTGGGCACCTCAGTGCCACCTGCTCTGCCCTGTCCTTGGGCAGCAATGTGCCTGGCCAGCCCTGCACGTGCTCTGAGGGCCACTCCTGGCTCCCATTACACCGCTGGGTGCCAAACCACACGTGCCCAGGGTGGGCTGGGCCTCCAGGGTCTGGCTGTGACCCACCGGGGAGCCCCAGCACTGTGGGGGCTATGCTGGCAGTCCCACACCAGGATCTGTCCAAGCTGCTGTCATTTCTCCTGAGTTCTGTTACAACAAACGCTGTATTTTCATGGTTTCCTACAATAAACTGCGATGCCAGACTCCTCTGGAGCCTCCCTGCCACAGGGGGGGCCACGGGGCTGGGCTGTCCATGCGTGGGGTCGAGGTGCCAAAGGGACCAAAGCTTGAGGTTGCAGGGCTGTGGTGCTGGGCTGGCCATGGGGCCATGAGACCAGGCTGTCCAGAAGCATGTCCAGAGGTGTGCATGGGGCTGGGGGCCATGGGGCCAGGCTGTCCTTCGGGCCATGGCCAGCAGGTGCCAACCCTGCCCAGCCCAGGCAGTGCTGACGTGTCAGGTCCTACCCATGCTCTGCCCGGCCACGTGCTCACTGCCACTCTGTCCCAGAGTGCCAGGGGGCTCTTGGATCAGACATCTCTCCACTGAGCCTAAAGATTTTCTTCGAACAAACTTCTTCAGCATGGCTGGGGAGTCCCAAGGGTGGTCAGTCCAGCCAGGGAGGCATCTTCTCAGAGTGGGTACTGGAGCTGGGCCCCCCTGCCTGGGTACTCTGCCTGGCAGGTGGAGGGGCCACAGGCACAGCAGGGCCCTGCCTGGGTGGGTGCCTCTGCCTGGAGATCCTGGCCCCTAAATTGGAATGGGAGGGGGTCACAGGGCTGAGCTCTCTACAAACAGGTGACTCTTTGTAGGGCCCAGCCCTGCAAATCAGGCCCCTGTTCCGATTCTCAGGCCCTGCCCAGGGTTGGGGGTGCCAAGTGGGGAAGCAGCAGTCCCAGTCACACCTCATCCCCTACGGGGCTCTGCCCTAGGCACACGACCCCATCCCCAGCTGGCAGAATGGATCTGGGGGTGAGGGGTGCTACATTATGCCAGAGCCCCTCATCAGCAGTCTCAGGGCACCAAGGAGCCCCCTGTGTTCCAGAGACCCCTCCCCCCCCAGCCCCTTGCCTGCACCTCAGCGCAGCTCTGATAGCTCCCAGCACATGCCAGAGTTCCCGGGCACCTGGCACAGCCATGAGCCCCACCCAGAGCCCACATACTGTGGCCAAGAGATCCATCAGCTGCCGCTGCTGGGCTGGTCCTGGGGCTGTTCCCAGCCAAGCACTGGCTCCGTGTCTCTGACCACATGGGCTTTCTTTGGGGAAGGTTTGGTTCCTTGTTTTTCTGCCTTTTCAGTGGTTGCCAAAACACTCCCAGTGCCCAGGAACAGGCCCAGCTCAAACTGGGGTTGCCAAGGGGCCACCACTGCGCTCCAGGGATGGCTGTTCCCAAGGTTTGTGCCCTGGCACACGGCCCCCCGGTGCTGCCACACAGCCTCTTCTTCCAGCACTCCCAGAGTCTTTCTGGGGCTCACTCAGCGTTTGGAGCCCGGACAGGCAGGGGAGGGGAGCAGGACACGCTGCATGCACCCAGTGACACACGTGCAGCTGCACGGCCCTGGCACCGTCACATTCCACCTGTGCAGCCGTGGGGAAACTGGACGCATCAAACGAGACATGTTCGATCGTGAACAGAAACCGAGAGCGTGGGAGGGGTGGGAGAGATGGAGTCTGGCAGGACACGTCACATCCAGAGGCGTGCAGGGACCAGAGACACGGTGACACCCCCAACACCAACCCCAGGACTGCTTGGAACAGAAAACGAGAGCCACCACCCAAGCTGAGGGCACCTGGGTGGGTGACAGCCACATCAGGGGAGTCGCTGTCCCAGAGAAGCCCCCCTGCCACTCCACGGCGCAGCCCTGGGGAACACATGGCTGCCCCCATCCTTTTATTTTAACTGCGATAAATATATCCCGGCTGAAGACCTGCAGCCCCGTCGAGAACCTGCCACCCCGCCGAGTCAAGCCCGGCACCAACACCCCGCAAATAGAGATATTTATATAAAATAACACCACAAAAAGAGCCATTGAATCCCCGGGGGTGAGGGCAGGGGGAGCACGAGCCCAGTCCTCCACCCCCGGCACGGAGCAGAGTTGCAAAGCCAAGCGAGTGCGGGGACCTGGGGTGTGCGGGATGCTCCCTCCCGCCCCCGATCTTTGTTCATCCAGTTCTGTCATGTGCACGAATCCTGCTGCTCCAGAACCATCCGGCTCCCGCTGCCCATGGCGAGGGGCCGAGCAGCACCGGGGAATGTGCCTGGGGCCGGTGCTGCTCCCCCCGGGAGTGGGGTCTGCGGCCGCCCCCTCCCCTCGGCAGCCGCCCTCCTTCCCTGTGCGCCTTTCAGAGGTTGTCGGAGCCGGCGGAGGGGTTGGTGTAGGTGAAGGTGCCGGCCCTCGTGGTGCTGCCGGCCACCTTGGAGGGAGGAAAAGTGAGGGGGTGTCAGGACCGGGCTAAGCCCCCACCCCGGGGAGGCAGAGGAAGACCTGCACCCTCTCCACGGCCACTATGGGCAACCAGAAGTTCCCCCATCCTCCCACGGTGGTGGGCTGCTGCTCTGGGTACCCTGGACACCCCGAGCCTCCCCCCCGTGCACAGGAGGAGCCGCGGTGGCCCCGGCCGTGTTCCCGCACGATAAGCCGGCCTGGCGAGTGCGAAGGTAAATATTTACCCAGGCCCCTGGTATTTGCACAGGGTGAGCTGCTCGCAGGGAGCTGGAGCAGCTGGACACGGCCCCCGCCCACAGCCCCGCGTGGGGGGAGCGCAGGGCACGGGATGACGGGGCGGCCCCCCGTGCCCCAGATCGCCTTGGAGAGCCCTTTGAGCCTCCAGGCAGCTCCCGGCGCCGCACCTGCAGCTCCAGTTTCGGAGTTGCTGGTGCGGGATGAGGGGTCCTGGCTATGGGAATCATCTCCTCAGCCCCCCATCAGATTTGCAGTACCCCAGCCCTGCTCCCCACCCATGGCAGAGGATGCCGTGGCAGCAGGAGACCTGAGGGTCTGGCTGGGACACAGCAGAGCAGGAGAAGGGGCAGGGTGGGCAGGCAGCAAGCCCCTCCTGACGTCGCTGGGGCGGGGCACAGGGAGCGGCTGCCCAAGGTCGCGGGGAGCTCCTGGAGCCAGGCCGGGTCTGCCCGCGCCGGCCGCGCACCCGCTCCGAGCGCTGCGCCAGCCAGGCGTGAATGTTACGCTCACCTCCTGGCGAGGCCGGCATGGGACGAGCTCCCCGGACACCTGCCCTGCCCTGCCATCCCCGTTAGCCATTAACCCAGAAGCCAGGGGATGCACCCCTACTCCCTGCCCTCGCAGCAGCCGGGGCCCCGGGTATGGGGCTCTCGCTCTCACCTGGCTGTAGGGGTTGGGTTTGCTGTTGGGGGACACGTAGCGCCCGTGGCTCTGGTACTGGAGGTATTCAGCCATGGGGTGGTAGGAATCTTTCTGGCTGAGTAGGTCCAGCTTTCCTCGGCTTTTCCGGCGGCAGGTGCAGGTGGACTTGGGGAGAGAGAAGGGGTCAGGGCTTGGCTGGTGTGGGGACAGGGACAAGGCACCAACCAGCAGAATGCAGGTGAGGACTGGGGAGGGGATGGGGCCTCACCATCAGGAGGAGACAGGTGAAGATGCTCAACAGCAGCAGAATGCTGACCAGGACCAACAGAGCAATGGCCCAGTCCGGGACCATGGGCACTGAAGCTGGGGACATCCCTGCTGCAGAGCCTGAAAGGAGCAGAGCTGTGTCTGCACCACAGGCAGAACCGGGACAGAACCCTGAGAGATCCCTGGGACAGGACACCAGGGGCTGAGCCCTCCTGCATGGGATCCACTTGTTCTTCCCAGTGGTGCCTGACGCAGGCACTGGGATTGTGCACTAACTGTGCCTGCTGCAAGCCCCGAGCCCATCACAGCACCAAGTAGACCCCCTACCTCAACCAGGACAGGAGCCCCCCAAGCTTTTCCCAGGTTCCATCTCCCCTCCCTCCCCAACCTGGAGCCTCCTCTCACTCTGGATGCTGTCCAGCTGTAGGCCCATGATGAAACCATTCTGGTCCAGGCTCTTCCTCAGGCGCTGCTCAGCAGCATCGGCAGTGACGGCATCGCTTCCGCTCCCAAACACGAGGGTGGACTGGACCTCCACCGAGCCTGGGCTGCACAGGAGGAGGCATCAGCACCCAGATTGTCCCCTGAGGGGCTACTTAATGAGGGGATACACTGCAATACCCCAGCCCCACTGGCACTGCTCACCTGTACCACAGCTCACTGCACCCGGTGTAGGTCTGTGTGCCCATGCAGCCTGCGCAGCCAAAGACGTGTTCAAACTGGAAGGAAGCATTGAGGTCATGGCCACCTCCCCACAGACACCCCCCTTTCCTCCCTCCATGCAGAACTGAAGCGGCAGAACAGACGCTCAGAG